TCTGCTACCGTAGTACCTTCGAGTGAGAGCGTCCCGCCCACTGGTCCCACCAGTGTAGTACCTGCGAGTGAAAGCGTCCCGCCCGCCGGCTCTGCCGACGAGGTACCTTCTTCGGCTTCCGAGTTTGTGTGTGTGGGTACTTCCTGGTATGGATCTAGGAGATACGAGTGTGCTCACCAACGAGCAGCTCATGGATGGTTATGATGACACCCCATATCAAGATTTTTTCCCCGTGTTTATCCCAGAGAGTGACGCTGCGAATGTGGCTGGTGTTTTGGATAGCATTGATGGGGGTGCTGATTTTGACTTGGGTGCGGCCGCGCTTGGCCCTGNCTGGACCTGTGTGGACCGCTGGTGCCTTCCCTGGGCGGCAACCTCTACCTGTTCGTCGCCGTGGACAGCGCCTCGCGGTGGAACAAGGTCTACGGTCTCCGGCGGAAGTCCGACGAGCTGGCGGCAACGAAAAGGCTGCTGGCGGACGTGGGGCGGTACGACCTCGGACGAATCGAATGTTTCCGCGTCGACAACGGCACAGAGTGGACCCGCGGCGATTTCCGGCGCTTCTGCGACGACAACGGCATCGGCGTCGAGTTCACCCCGCCCGGCGTCCCGCAGTACAACGGCGTCGTCGAGAGCGCCATCTGGCGCATCATGAAGGCCGGCATGGCCGCCCGCCGCAGCGCTGGCCGTGTGTTCGACGTCGACTTCGCCTCCATCCCCGGCCTCGACGAGCGCGGTGACCGTCTTTGGATGGAATCGGCGAAGTGGGCAGCTGATGCTCTCAACCAGTCGGCGACCAAGGCCAACCCCGGGCGGCGCTCGCCGCACGAGATGTTCACCGGCGAGCAGGGGCCGTTCCGCGTGCTGCCGTTCTTCCAGCCCGGCTTCATGCGCGAGGACCGCCGCACCAAGCTCGACGACCAGGCCACGCTCTGTTACTACCTGAACGGCGGCGACAACCACCCGAGCGGCACCGTCAAGGTCCTCAAGGCGTCCACCGGCCGCGTCGTCTACACCAACAACGTGTCGTGGGTGACGTCGGCGCCAGCCGGCGAGGGGGGTTCCGCTGGTATCACCGCTGCGCCGACACCCCCCCCGTTCACGCCGCCGGTCGTCTCGATCAACTTTGGCCCAGCACCGACGCCTTCGACCGCCACACCGCCACCGCCAGCGCCCACGCCGTCGCCCGCTCCCGCTCCCGCTGCCTCTTCGACCCCTGCCGCAACGCCGCCGCCAGCGACCACGCCGCCGCCCGCTCCCACGACTTCACAGCCGCCCTCTGCCACTTCGCCGTCACCGTCGGCGACCCCCGCTCCTGGCAATCCGTCCTCTGCCTCTCCGCCGTCACCGTCGGCGACCCCCGATCCAGACCAGCCGCCGCCGCCGCCGCCGGACGCCGCGATGCTCCCGCTCACGGCTCACGCCATGCGGCAGCTTCGCCCGGGTACAAAGGCCGAGGGTATGACAGACCCGCGGCTGCCAAGCCGTACGAGATCGGGCACGAGGCACAGCACAGGACTCATCTCGATGCTAGACAGGAACACTCTGGTGTCGATGCTGGAGGCTCGGAGCGCGGTGGATAAGGAGCGCAGGGAGCTGGGGGGGGCGGAGGCCGGAGAGCCGGGGGGAACGGGGGCCGGAGAGCAGGCGGGAGCACTCGCAGCGGTGGACCCGGGGGCTGCAGGAGCGGGCTTTCCACTCGCATTTGCCACGCTCCTCGCCAACCGGGAAGACATCGACGCCACGCTGCGAGACCAGCGCCCGCCGGAGCAACGCCCTGACCTTCCGCATTGCCAGGCCAGCGACCTTCGTGTCCCCAAGAGCTACAAAGAGGCCATGGCGTCGGAGCACCGGCACCTTTGGAGCGACTCTATGCAAAGGGAGTTTTATGGCTTGTTGGAAGCGGGGACTTTTACTCCGGCGAAGTAGCAACTAGTGGAGAACGCAATTAACGCTAAGTGGGTATTCGATTGGAAGGCAGATGAGTTTGGATGGCCCACTAAGGTTAAGTCGAGACTTGTAGCGAGAGGTGATATGCAGAGAGAGTACATTGACTTTGGAGAGTTGTACGCGCCTACCGTTTCTGTTTCATGTGTTAGGATGTTGGCTGCTTTGGCGTGCGAGTTGAACCTCGACTTGTGTCATTTCGATGTTGAGCAAGCTTTTGTGCGTTCGGAGTTGGAGGAAGACGTGTACATGCGTTTGCCGCAGGGATGTGGAGCTCTATCTGGAATGATTGTAAAACTAGGCAAGAGTCTGTATGGCTTGAGACAGGCATCTAGGCAGTGGCATGCAATGCTGAAGAGGTGCTTGGTGGCGTTAGGATTTGAGCAGTGCATGGCCGATGCTTGTGTGTTTCGTTTGATTGAGGATGGATGTGTTGTTTTGATTTTGGTAGTACATGTAGATGACATTTTTGCTGTTGGAGAGAGGGAGAGATGTGATAAGTTTGGCGCCGACCTTAACAAGTCCGTGCCAGTGAAGAACCTGGGAGAGTTGAGATGGTATTCTGGGTGCTTTTACGAGAGGAATAAGGAGACCGGTAGGTTGACGATTTCTCAGCAGACTTTCACGGACGAGCTAGCAGCAGAATATGGAGTAGTGGGAGGTAGGAGCGTTCCGATGTCTTCGGGTGTGAAGCTTTCTGATTTTGATGCGGATGAGGTGGCGACAGACTTTCCGTTTCGTGAGCTGGTAGGATCGTTGATGTGGCTGGCAACTCAGACTAGACCAGACATTGCGAATGTAAGGGCAGTAGCTAGGTATTGCGCATCTGCGAAGCTGGTACACTGGAATGCAGCGATTGATATTTTAGGCTATGCGAGGAGGACGAGTCACTTTGGTATTTTGTTTCAGAGAGGTACGGCAGAGGGATTCAGCTTGCAGGTCTTCAACTGACTCCCTGGTCAGGCTTTGATGGGTGCTAGATGAGAGTGAGAGGGGTGGCGAGCTTGGGGCTGCACCACTCTCCTCGAATACCGGACAAATAAGCCAATCACACGAAAGATCTAGAATGCTTCCAGAATGATTCTGGAAGCCCTCCTACGTTCTAGAAACAAATGTATTATTATTTTGTTTGTCTTCCGACAATTGTAGATGTACCTCAACCTCAGAAAACTTTCACTTAATGTCTCATACTCTACATTGTATCAAGTGCAACCTAGGTCTAGAACGCTTCCAGAAGTTTCCAGAAGATTTCCAGAAGCTACACACGTTCTACGTAGATGTCCCGGTCGACCTTGTCCTATCATGCTTCCGAAATATTTCTAGAACAAGAGGGTTTCCGGGGTATTGGCCCGAGTACCGTAATTTCGGGGTTCGGAACAACAAAACGACTGAATTTCAGTCTCGCCTGCCAAATTATCTCCGCTACAACTCTGTGCTCATGTTTTCTGCTGAGTACCATCTCTTCTTTTTGTATTTTGTCTACGGAAGACTAGTTGCCGCAGTCGCACCTACAGTTGGCGCCCACAGTTAAGAAATATTTTGTTAAGAAATTGAGGCTCACTTTTTCACGAAAAATATGAAAATAGGTTTAAGAAACATAGCTTAATCTGGGTCACACAATAAGATAGGAAGGAGCGGGGGGCGCAAAAGGGTGACAACCCCCAATGTTCGCCTCACGGAGCTTGCATCATAATGACGGGGTAGTTTTCGTTGTTGGGCACGTCAGCGTGCGGGTGAGGCATCATGCGGTGTTGATGCATTTGTTTAGTTTCAGCCCTTACTCATGAGGGGGGTACAGGACCTTGTAGCGATAGCGATACGTTGCCGCTGGATACTTTCGCTTCTAGGGAGTGGCCTTACGTGCAGCCGTCGGTAGTGAGAATCGGGGTTGAGTACGGGGGTCGAGGAAAGCAGTGCAAATCATTTGAATATTTGGAACGTTGTGTAGTATGCAAGCAGAGGAATAATTTAAGAAATTCAGCAGGATTTGGCTGCACGAAAAAATATGAAAATTTATATAAGAAACTGAACGACATACATACGCTGAGTTAATAGCCCACAATAAGAATTCGAGGCTGGACCTGAAATAAGCGTTTCTTAACTGCGGGCGCCAACTGTATGGTAAACTGTGCCTGACTACGTTGTAACAGTTTTCCTCGACACAGATCTGCAAGTGAATTTTCCGTCCTTTATCATGCTTTTTGTTCTCCGCGATGCAACAAAATCGACGCAGAAAACAAGGGAAATACAACCCCCCAGCGGGGAACTTGTGGCGAAAATGGTAACCCGGGGGGAAATTGACATATGCATATACCCGGGGGGATGTTTTTTCTTTTTCTCGATAAGGATCTCAAAAAAAATCAACGAACTCATGCTTCCACGCCGAAAAGGGAATGGGCTAAATCAACGAATTCATGCTTCCACGCCGAAAAGGGAATGGGGGGGGGGGGGG